ATTATTCGCACCGGGGGTACAAGCATGTCAAAAATACCCTATAACATATATATTTGATATGCTATCAACTATTTAGATTGTTGTTCACCCAAAAAAAAAAAACTATTTGGATTATTTTCCCATTTTTTAGTTTGGGTCTTTGGGAAAGCAATTCAATAGAAAAAGTCCATTGCTCCCAACCCGAATGAATATTTACTGTTTAGAGTTGTGTATGCTATGTTTGATTTGTACCTCTGACTTTTTAGCAATATATTTTATACAAAACTTATTAAATAAAAAAATGTGAATTCTGTATACAATAAAAGACCGGGGGAGTGGTAGGGGGTCCAACAATCTGCAAGGATTTGATCCTCCACCCAATGCAGGCTGCCTTTGTGTCTGGGGTGCCGGCCTAGGTGGCCTAGACCCTTGGTCGCCTAGGCAGCCGCATCTGCTTTCTTGAACATTGGATGAGATGGAATCGGTATTTGCTTATGAGGTGACTCATTCGGATGATGATAACGATATGTACATGTGGCACATGAGGTTGGGTGAGGGCAAGATTGATGAGAAACGGCTTTTGGAAAAATGTAGAAGGGAATCTTTTGAAAATGTGAGCCATGCGTACAAGGCAAACTTAGTAAGAAACAGTTTTTGAAAACTATGAGAGCAATTGGCATTTTCGATGTTGTCCACTTTGACATTGTGGTTTAATGAATTGGCCACATGATGTCAGAAGAGATACCTTATTACTTTTCTAGATGACCGTTCATGTTTGGGGCATGTTTATTACTTAAGATTAAATTTGATGCAGTAGAAACTTTTAAGGAGTTTTAATGCTTAGGTGGAAAATCATCCTGCTAGGAAAATTATTGTCCTTTGGTCTGATATGGGATGCAAGTATTCATCTCAATTGCTGGAGTTCTCACACAGAATGGTAATTTCACCAATTCACCATGCCATGCACATTCGAACAGAATTGGTTGACGAAGAGACAAAACGGGAAAGAAGTGGAAATGGTGAGGAGTATGATGGGGTATGCTAAGCTCATCCTAGACTTTTGGGGTGAGGCAGCTCTTCAAGGAGAGAATGTCCTGAACATGATTTCCATGAAAGCAGTACCTTGGATGCACCATGAGTTGTTCACTCGTTGTGTTCCATCCCTTATCACCTGAAAGTGTGAGGGTGATCAACTCATGCATTGAGACCTTCTCAGAATAGGTCAAACCTGGATCCCAAAACAGTGAAATGCATTTTTTTTTTCTTTCTTTTTGGTATGTCCAACATGGGAAATGTTTTAGATCCTGTGGTGGTGATTGATTCTAAAGACACCCACCTTTTCGGTGATGAATTCCTTGAAACTACACATGGCCAAAAGGGCAGATTTTCATGAAATGAGTGACAATGAGATTGAGATTCGAGTCCATAAACCACAAGCTCTTAGAGAAGCTAAAGGATTAGGCACCTGCCTGAATTCTTTACCATCCTAGGAGGATATTAGCAAAAGGAACCAGATGGGCCTAATGATGATTTCTCAACCTAATAGGAAATCTCAGAAAGACTAGATAATGACTTGTGTTTGGCCGCTATGGATGAGGTAATGCACTCAACAGAATGGAATGGTGTCTGGCACCTGGTAACATGAAGTGGTCTTGTTTCCGGATGATGGGAAACCCATAGGCTATATATGGATGTTCAAAAGGAAATTGAACTTTGACGGGCAAATAGAGAAATATATGGCTAGACCGCTAACAAAAGATTTCACCCAAAATGCAGGGATAGACTATGATAAGACTTCAACTCTTGTAGCCAACTTCGTATCTATTCAATTTCTGATCTCCATGATGAGTTACTTTGATTTTGCAGTTCACTAATGAACATGAAAACGACACTTCTAAATGGAGAACTAGAAGAGAGAATATATATGAAATAGTGTGAATAATGGGAGGGAAGATCATCGATGATTTGGTTAGAAGTTTGTAAGCAGTTGGATTTAACTAGTCAAGAGTCCTAATTTGATTAGGATTGTGTGTAGTTAATAAAATTTATTGAATACAAGTCCTTGTTGCATTAGGAATTTAAATAAAAAATTATTAAATAGGCGTCCTTGTTGGATTAGGATTGTGTTTAACACGATAGAGTTCTATCGCTATTTGGGTTTGAAGAAGTCATCGAATAAGATTATAGTTACTTGTAGCATTAGTCTTCTAGTAAGACTTGTCTTCTTAGTTATTTGAGAGTTATTTGTAGGATTAATAAGACTTGTCTTCTTAGTTATTTGATAGTTATTTGTAGGATTAATAAGACTCTTCTTAGTTACTTTAGAGTGTTTACGAGCGGAATGATCATGAGATAAAAAAATACACCCTGAACACAGAAAAACACATGGGCGCTTCGAGAAACAAACTTTTGCTCGATGTACATCATACGCCCACCAACATAAGGTTGCAAAAAGAACACCATGGAAGATAACATAAGAGAACACTAGAGATAGAAAGAACATTTTCTTTCATTCATTCATCTGTTCTCAAAGTAACCCACTCGATATATATAGAACTATATTTATATATGGGAAAATTTTATATAGAGCCGATGCTCTAAACAATCAAATTCGAGCCTACCTCAAAAATTTCACTAGAAGAGGTTGTTTTGATGCCCAAATATCCTCAAATTGATCATCTCGACATCAAGAAACTTGGACATGAGAAAAAAATAGATTTCAACTTTTGAAAATAGTGTACTTTGTAACACATTTTTGGATTGCCAATTTTCAGGATTTTCAAGTTTTCATAGATCTCTCGATCTATGCTATTTTTTAAGCTTTAAACTTTATAAATAAAGATGAAAATATATTCTAAGGCTATCAAAAAGATTTCCAGTATTGAAACCACATTTCTTGACACTATTTGAAGGTAGGCTCTAATTTGATTGTTTAGAGCCTAGGCTCTATACAAACCATACCCTTTATATATATATATATATATATATATATATATAGATGCGCGACGCGACACACACATTACGTTAACGTAAACGAAACTAACGTTACTTAACGTAAGAACGTAACTTACTTACGTAACGTAACGTAACTAACTTAA